CCAGGAAAACCAAATTATCAACAGATTAAACTTCAACTTTAAGTGTGTAACATATCCTTATTGCATGCAAAGGGTTATTGAACTTGATTGAAGGGTTATTAAAATGAATTGTGTACTTCCATGGTTCACTATCCCGTACACTATCCTGTATCCTGATGATATAAAAGCAAGTGGAAGATCAGAGAGCCACACTCTTCAGTGGTAGGACCGAGTACACATACCAGGACATTGAAGAACATCGGGGAACCATGCAGCATAAATACTTCTTCCTCACTGTCCTAGCCTTCCTGTCCATCTGCCAGATGGGTAAGTCAAATGACCAGCAAAGACCTCCACTGCACTAATGTACTTCATCTTCATGTTCTTATTCCTGCAATATTTATTAGTTTTTTTTATGTTTATTCTAAGTGGAACTATGGGCAAAATAAAAAAAATATATTTTCAGTGGAACTTGAATCAAAATAGCAAAAAAAAAATATCAAAAGGCAAAAATCAGAAATAGCAAATACAATACCATCTGTCAATACCATTAGCACTGCAGTTTTGGTTTTCCTGAGCCCCCATAACTGATTTCTTTACCTGTTTTTTTTTGCAGCAAATCGGTTACTTTTCCACTCCTATATGTCAGAATGTTTACTCTGATAAAATAAACAGTTCTCTATTTATGAAAATAGGCCAGGATCTGGAATTAGGGAGATTCCCAACTTATTTTCACAAATCAAAAAAAATAAATCGAGTTCATTTATTTGCGCTAACCTGAAGACAAAATCAATGCAATTGTGTGCAAAAATATATATTTATTAACTAAAATCAGTGCAAAATGATAATGAAAAGATAATAGGTGATACACAAGAAATCAATTGGATCAAAGTTTCAGTAATATTGATCAACACAGATCAGAGCCGTAGCTAACTCCTTTTGCACCCGAGGCAAGAACAGATAATTGTGCCCCCCACCAACAGACGTGTGATGTCGCCCAACGCCGCACATGCGCGGCATCATGTGACGTCATGCGCCCCGACTCCAGGCAGGGGAGAGCAATGGGGATCCAAAGAGAAGATGGAGCCTGTGCCACTCCTCTTCTCCCTGCCGAGCAGCAGCTGCGTTGGCTTTCTGGTGCCCCTGTTGCCATGGCGCCCTGTGCCTCACTCGCCCCAAGGTAGCTACAGCCCTGACACAGATAATGAGAAAAATAAAACCGCAGGATATTATTTCAACTATAAATGAAACAAAACTAAGTAACTCCTGGAATGCAATTAGTAGCTTATCATTAGCTCAGCAGAATGTAACAACATAATGTACAGATTTGACACGTGATCTCTCTCAGACAACAGATATTCGAAAGCTCAAAATGTATACTGCGCAAGAACTAACTTGTTATATCATGCACAGAACTGGCAATTTGCCAAGTTTCTTTTTAAGGCAAAAACAAACTTGCACTCAATTATTTTAATTTTAAATATACATCACAACCAAACCATAGACTAGAAACTGAAATCAGCTTCAAAGATATTATACATATATGTGTATTTCTCTCCCAGGATTGGAAAAGAGATGGTTCACACTGCAGTTAGAGTGATCTAAATTCAAATCTCGATGCTACTAGGACCAAATGGTTTAGTCATATGTATATGGCTATACTATTGCCCGCAGATAAATAGAATTTATACTTTACCAAAAAGTGTTAAATCTTTTGTCTGAGAGATGTCAGCTTTGTGTCGGTTTCCCTGGACAGCCCGTCAATCAGCTTCAGATCTCCACCTCCTGTGTGTGTGTCCTCCTTTTTCAGTGTCAAAAACCTCCTCTGTATACTGTTCTCCTAACTTTTTATCACCCAAAAATGTGGGCCTGGTTTGCTTATCTCTACCTTTTAATTATGATGCCAGAGGGCCATGACCTGATCTCTGTAACTACCGGAAGAGGGCACTGTTGGACTAAAATTGATTCTGGATTTTTCTTTTAAAATTCCAACATTATCCCTTATGATTGAAGCAATTTGATGACACATTGGTTGCCTTAAAATCCTTCACTGATATAACATTATACACAATCTAATTATTTGTACTTAAAGGAGAACTATGAGGTGAGTGCTTTTCACTCACCTCATAGTTCTAGCCGACCTGTGACAATGAGTCACAGGTTGGCTCAGTAGATCGGGAGGTGAGCGAACACATACCGGGTTCCCTCACCTCTCAATCCTGTCACGGCTCTCTGCCGT